TTTTACTGAGTTTGAATTTGATGGTGATTTTGATGATGTCCTGTTGATGTTGAATTTGATAGTCATTTTGATCTTGAATTGTGTCCTAATCCTTATTTTGAATTTGACGACTCTAGATTTTGAATTGAATTATTATTTCCTTCTGAATTGGATGATTGCTTTGATTTTGACTTTGATGAGTATTTTGGTTTTGGTGTATTTCCCTTGGATAATCTAGATTTTGGTAATTATCTGAATTTTATCAAAATCATTTTGGTCCAGTTTCAAATTAAACTTCAAACTTTATATCTATTCATCTGTCTGTCCGTCTGTCCATCCATCCATCTATCTATCTATCTATATCTGTCTGTCTGTCTGTACGTATATACATATGTACTCATATATTTTGTATGCTTCCAGCAAATTTTCAGATGAAGGAAGCATAGTTTTATTAAAGTTCTTATTCTAATTATCACCTTATCACTTGAATTTGACTTTATTTTTTGTGGTAACTTTCAATGAGACACAGAGAAACAAAGAAAAAAGGAAATTAACACAAGCTAAGAAAAAAAAAAAATCACCTCCTAATCTAGGCCTAATCATATTCATACTTTTACTCATCCACTAACAATCACTAAATTAAACCATCAGACATACACCATCGAATACAAAATGAGAATCCTTGTATTTCTACCCATTTCCTAGTGACATTATCTACAAATACTACAATATGAATCAAGAAAGTGAACAAAATTTATAAAGGAACCTAAACAAGAAGCAAAAAAAAAAAAATGGTAATAATTTAAATGTGGAACTTTATAAAAGAGAATTAGAATAAAAAAATGCAAGAAAATTCTATAGTAAAGAGAAAAAAATCTAAAAAAGAGAACATATATACCATGTGACAAAAATTCCAACAGGGAATCTACATATGAAAAACTTTATAAAACAGTAAAAAGTGAAAAAAAAAAAAAAAAAAAAAAAAAACACATACAAGAATTTAACAAACAAAGAAATTTACAGCAAAAAATAGAGAGAAAAAAAAAAACAGAATTATTGGGAATCCACAGAGAACAAACCTTATAAAAGAAATAAGAGTAGTCCTCATCGCTGTCAAAATCCAGCCTCGAATACTGACAGCTCTCAGAGTCGTTCTTCGAAGGATAGCCATGCTTCATGACCTGCGTGAAAAATGACAAAGAATTAAAATGACAATAAGATAGAGGTTTCCAATCCAAAGTTTCATATCCATCTTTCCTTTCAAAAGATCTCATCAAAATACTACAAACTATTTCATTTATACCAACTGACACAAAATCAATATATATGTTCTTTGCCTTTTCCATGAATATGCATATAATATCAATAGCTTCTTGTAAATGAATATAAAGCAGAATTTCTTATGCAAGAAAAATTATGAAACCAAATAAATTACAAAAATAAATTAACAACAGTTAAGAAGAGCCATCTATGTGCAGAGACACTTCACAAAAAATTCTAAATTGAGCACCTCATTTCCCCGGCGACATTGGCTTAGAGAAACAAAGAAGAACAAAAGTTAAGCCACAAAACTCTTACATCAATCTTAACTACACAAAATGCTTCCCAAAAAGAAAAAAGAAAAAAGAAAAAAGAAAAAGAAAGAAAAAAAAAAACATCAAAGTTATCCCTCTCATCCACCAACAAAGGAGACTTGCCATCCGCGAGACAATGGTGATCCACGACGGCAAAACGGCTTGGAGGGTTTTGCTCTGGGGTATGTGCTCGTGCCGGAAGAGCTGCCCCCAGAGCCCGTTGGTGAAGTTGTAAATATGGAGGCTTGGGTGTCCTGTGAAGGCCAGCATCGCATCAAGGTAAACCCGGAAGTTTGGAGGTTCGCCAACGTCCGCTTCCTTGCCCCACAGCGCACAGAGTTGGGAGCCTAGCGCTGTGAGCACCTGCAGGGAATGAGTAGGAAATGCAGGGTGACTGACAAACTTTCACATAGTAGATGGAAGTAGTAGTAAAAGTAGAAGTAAAGGTAGTAGTAGTAGTAGTAGTAGTAGTAGTAGTAGTAGTAATAGAGTAGTAGTAGTACTACTACTACTAATAATAATAATACTAATAATAATAATAATACTAATAATAATAATAATGATGATGACGAAGATTATTATCGTCATCATCATCATCATCATCATCATCATTATTATAATAATAATAATAATGATGATGACGAAGATTATTATCATCATCATCATCATCATCATCATCATCATCATCATCATCATTATTATAATAATAATAATAATTAATAATAATAATAATGATGATGACGAAGATTATTATCATCATCATCATCATCATCATCATCATCATCATCATCATCATCATCATCATCATCATCATCATCATTATTATAATAATAATAATAATAATAATAATAATAATAATAATAATAATAATAATAATAATAATAATAATGATGATGACGAAGATTATTATCATCATCATCATCATCATCATCATCATCATCATCATCATTATTATAATAATAATAATAATAATAATAATAATAATAATAATAATAATAATAATAATAATAATAATAATAATAATAATAATAATAATAATAATACCACCAAAGATAACAACAACAGCAAGATGAACACTAACATTTGAAAAAAATGTTAATTAGAATACAGCTACCCCCCACCCTCCCCCCCCACCCAACTACCATAACCCCTACCTGAGTTAGCGTTTTGAGGAAGCGGTAATTGTGTTCGCTCAGGGTCCCCATCACTGCTCTGTCTGCCGCTGCAAATATGGTCGACATTGGGGCCTTGCCGAACAGGAGAATGAGGGGTCGTCGCTCGTCTAGTTTTCCTTTCCGGCTCACAATCTGCGCGAGGAAGAGGGAGTTACTGATTCTGATTTTCCTACATTCTTTAGCTTTTTTTTTCTTTTTCTTTCTTTCTTTCTTTCTTTCCTTGATCCTTACACTCCAAAAAAAAATCTAATATCTAAATTTAAAAAAAACAAAAACATATAAGTGAGTGAAAAAAATAAATAATGGCAGTAATAACTACAAGAGTACTCACCTGCAAAAGGCATTCTGCAGCCTCCATCTTGAGATTGTCTTCGCTTAGCAAGAAGCAGAGTGACTTCAGGAGTTTCCCATCATCTGCGAAGATGTGTTGCACTGAAACCCACTCCACATACACTGTCAGAGTCATCAGAACTACCTGCAATGACATGCCTTGCAATGATGCCTCTATTACCATGATATAACTTGTAATGATATATCTGATCCAACCCTGACTACCCTATGTAAAGACATGTTAAATGAAAACAAGATGTAAACATGTCAAGCCATGACATGCTTGGTGCAATATAGATGTAACTTATACATACTGAAGAAATATAATAACAAATTAATTATTAAAAAAAAAAAAAAACAAACATATAAGTGAGTGAAAAAAATAAATAATGGCAGTAATAACTACAAGAGTACTCACTTAAAAAAAAAACATCAAAGTTATCCCTCTCATCCACCAACAAAGGAGACTTGCCATCCGCGAGACAATGGTGATCCACGACGGCAAAACGGCTTGGAGGGTTTTGCTCTGGGGTATGTGCTCGTGCCGGAAGAGCTGCCCCCAGAGCCCGTTGGTGAAGTTGTAAATATGGAGGCTTGGGTGTCCTGTGAAGGCCAGCATCGCATCAAGGTAAACCCGGAAGTTTGGAGGTTCGCCAACGTCCGCTTCCTTGCCCCACAGCGCACAGAGTTGGGAGCCTAGCGCTGTGAGCACCTGCAGGGAATGAGTAGGAAATGCAGGGTGACTGACAAACTTTCACATAGTAGATGGAAGTAGTAGTAAAAGTAGAAGTAAAGGTAGTAGTAGTAGTAGTAGTAGTAGTAGTAGTAGTAGTAGTAGTAGTAGTAGTAGTAGTAGTACTACTACTACTACTACTACTACTACTACTACTAATAATAATAATAATAATAATAATAATAATAATAATAATAATAATAATGATGATGACGAAGATTATTATCATCATCATCATCATCATCATCATCATCATCATTATTATAATAATAATAATAATAATAATAATAATAATAATACCACCAAAGATAACAACAACAGCAAGATGAACACTGACATTTGAAAAAAATGTTAATTAGAATACAGCTACCCCCCACCCTCCCCCCCCACCCAACTACCATAACCCCTACCTGAGTTAGCGTTTTGAGGAAGCGGTAATTGTGTTCGCTCAGGGTCCCCATCACTGCTCTGTCTGCCGCTGCAAATATGGTCGACATTGGGGCCTTGCCGAACAGGAGAATGAGGGGTCGTCGCTCGTCTAGTTTTCCTTTCCGGCTCACAATCTGCGCGAGGAAGAGGGAGTTACTGATTCTGATTTTCCTACATTCTTTAGCTTTTTTTTTCTTTTTCTTTCTTTCTTTCTTTCTTTCTTTCCTTGATCCTTACACTCCAAAAAAAAATCTAATATCTAAATTTAAAAAAAAACAAACATATAAGTGAGTGAAAAAAATAAATAATGGCAGTAATAACTACAAGAGTACTCACTTGCAAAAGGCATTCTGCAGCCTCCATCTTGAGATTGTCTTCGCTTAGCAAGAAGCAGAGTGACTTCAGGAGTTTCCCATCATCTGCGAAGATGTGTTGCACTGAAACCCACTCCACATACACTGTCAGAGTCATCAGAACTACCTGCAATGACATGCCTTGCAATGATGCCTCTATTACCATGATATAACTTGTAATGATATATCTGATCCAACCCTGACTACCCTATGTAAAGACATGTTAAATGAAAACAAGATGTAAACATGTCAAGCCATGACATGCTTGGTGCAATATAGATGTAACTTATACATACTGAAGAAATATAATAACAAATTAATTATTAAAAAAAAAAACTACTAATCACAATAAATCAACCAAAAGTTCTTTTAAAAAAACTACTAATCACAAGTAATCAATTAAAAGTTTGTTTGTTTGTTTTTTTAACTACTAATCACAACTAATCAACCAAAAGTTCTGTCCCCATTCAATTCAACTTCAATTAAAAAACACTGGCCACAGATACATGTACTGTCCACTGCAGTTATTGTTGCACACAGATGGCTCCACAACTGCTCTGCTACCAAGGAGCCAATTAGCAGACCCTACGTAACCTTAGCTAATTTCCCTATTCCTTGCCTGTATTTTTTTTTTTTTTTTTTTTTTTTTATTTATTATCATTACTGACTTTATGATTATTGTATAGACATTATATGAATAGCAACAATAAAAGATAAAAAAACAAATCTTTTGGAAAATAATGGGAAAAGGGTAAACAGATGAATTAGACAAGACATATAACCGACTCCTTGCTGACTAAGCACTTGTGGTACCATCTCTACCTCAACAATTAAACAACTAAAACTACAGTGGACATGGCATGTATGTCATACCTGCATGACCCTGCAATGTTGCTGCGCTGGCTGGAGGTTCTGCGCTTTCATGGTGGCTTCGTACAGCTTGTAATTCTCTTCAAGCAGCGACAAGAAAAAGCCAAACATGCTCTCCATGTTGGCTGTCATCGCCTGGTACAGGTCTCTCCTCCTCTGGTTCGACTCCAAATTCTGGGGAAGTGAAAGCAAGCAAAAATGAAAAGGGAAGAAACAATTTCTTCATTTAGTTTTTCATATTAATTTCTTTCTCAGAGTCTGGGTAGTTGCAACATAAATCATATGGCCTGAGAGATTCAAGGGTGATATTCAAGAAAGCTCCTTGACAAATTTAAGGACTGTTCTAGAAAGTCTTTGACTCCAATACCATCATAGAATTTGCCTATGACTCATTTAAAGACTGTCCTCAGTGATTTCATCTTTGCCTAGTACTGATACCACATGTTAAAGTTAGTACTTAAATAGTACAAATATTTAAATCTTATGATAATAATTTACTGTAATAGTAAGCTAAAATTACTACTGCAGTCAAATCTCAAGTATAGTCACTTAAATATTACCAATTTAATATCTCTTCTTTGTCTGTGTGGCGATCTCTACATTTGCTGTCATTGCATCAGCCGCAAAGCATGCAATGACATTTGTATTTATCTAGAAGAAAACCAGCTATCACAGAGGAAACAGCTCAATTAACATTTTATAATAAGTAAAAACGTGGCAAGAAGGATTTCCATATCATTACAATGCAGTTCTTTCTTCAACGTCTATAAAATCGCAGTATTATTGTCTGCATCTCATTAGGACAATTATGCACTATGAAATGCCGCCAGACCTGTCTTTAACATCAGCCGAGTCACAGACAAGAATCGGGTGCTAAGGATATTTTTGTGAGGAGTCAAAGAGGTTTTTTGTATTTTTTGTCAAAGTGTATGACCTGATTTCTAATACTATAGCTGATATTGTATATTAAGGTTTATTTTTCCCGGATTAATCTCTATATAATTATAATTATAAATTATATAATTCTTACTCTCTGAAGAATTATCACTATTACATAACTATATCTTATGAATAGAAGTACAAGAAGAAGAAGAAGAAGAAGAAGAAGAAGAAGAAAAGGCATAAGCAGCCCATTAGCAACCTCGCCAAACACACACCTGCAACGTTGCCACATCCTCCGCAATCCTCAGGAACACAAAGAGAACCAGCTCCGTCTGTGTTGGCCCTCTCTTGGAAAGTGCGTGGAGTTCTTCGAGCAGTCCAGGCCATTGCTGCGGCCACTCACGCTTCATCATCTCCACCACTAGCCTTGACACCTGGGGAGGTCAGATGCTTTTTTTCTTTTTCTCTTTTTTTTTCTTTCTTTCTTTCTCTTTTGCAAAAAAGCAATAAGTCTAATAATCATAAATGCAAAAATAAAATATCTGCACAATAACAACAAAAAATAAATAAATAAGGTTATCATATAGAACAATTAATATTCCTATATATGTTATGATAATCATATCCAAAGTAAAAGATCTCTAAAAGTAAAATAATCTGTAAATAATAAAATACAATTCAATACCAAACACAACATCATGAAGAGTCAATGAAGCTGAGTATGGATGGCTTTAGTAAGGCTTCCACATATTCATGTACTACCAGTACTGCCTACAAAAGCTTCATTCCTCACATACGTAGAAGCTTCATTCCTCACATACGTATGTGACTGGCACCAAGCATGTACACAAGCATGCACATGAGTGTGTGTATGAGCAGTCCTTGAAGTTACTTCTTAAATTCTATATATAAATATAAACACACATACATGAGTGCGTCCTCATGAGAGAGAGAGAGAAAGAGAGAGAGAGAGAGAGAGAGAGAGAGAGAGAGAGAGAGAGAGAGAGAGAGAGAGAGAGAGAGAGAGAGAGAGAGAGAGAGAGAGAGAGAGAGAGTGTGTGTGTGTGCGTGTGTGTGTGTGTGTGAACATTTGAGTGTGTGAGTGTGTGAATATGTGAGTGTGTGAATATTTATGAGAGAGAGAGAGAGAGAGAGAGAGAGAGAGAGTGAGAGTGAGAGTGAGAGTGAGAGTGAGAGTGAGAGTGAGAGTGAGAGTGAGAGTGAGAGTGAGAGTAAGAGTGTGAGTGTGAGTGTGAGTGTGAGTGTGAGTGTGTGTGTGTGTGTGTGTGTGTGTGTGTGTGTGTGTGTGTGTGTGTGTGTGTGTGTGTGTGTGTGTGTGAGTGTGTGTGTGTGTGAGAGTGTGTGTGTGTGTGTGTGTGTGTGTGTGTGTGTGTGTGTGTGTGTGTGTGTGTGTGTGTGTGTGTGTGTGTGTGTGCGAAATTAAATAGTAACCTCAAGGACTGTTCATCTTTCTCTGCACAAATCCAACATAACATTCTAAAAAGTAGCCCAATACTCTCCTTCAGTTTGGAATACCTCCCTCCTCATTACTTTCCAAAAAGAAAAAACAGTGGAGAATAAGAGCAGACACCCAAAATAACTCTCTCCACGAACTCTTTCATTCATTATCTATTTTTCATCGCTCTGCCCTAAAGCCAACTTTCAATACCTTAGACTGTTACTTACTTTATCTTTAACATATAACTGCTCTGTCAGAAGGTCAAGGGTTCCATCAGTGACAAGTTGCATTGTATTTTCCTGCAACAAAAAACAATTTTCAATTAAAACAAATATACAAAACTGTAGGTTATATTCCTTAAAATAAATAAGACAATATAACACACAAGCACGCACACACACACACAAACACACAAACACAAACACACAAACACACAAACACACAAACACATAAACACGCAAACACAAACACAAACACACACAGACACACAGACACACACAAACACACACACACACAAAAAAAAAAAAAAAAAAAAAAAAAAATTACTCATGTATTAACAAAACTAACCCACCTTAATAAAGACTTTCTGCTGGACCGACAGATCATTCCACTTGTACTTGATGGTGTGCTCGAGCAACTGCAGGCCCAAGTGGCGCACGACCGGCTCCTTGGAAGGGTGGGCCATGTGGAATCCGCAACCGACCGCCACCTCGCTCTCCTCCTTGACCTGGAGTAGGACGAGGTTGGTTGACGGAGTTGGTGGTAGGGAAAGAGATGGATAATAGGGGAGGGAATGGGAAAAGAGGCACATAGGGAAAGAGATAGATAATAGGGGAGGGAAAGGGAAAGGAGGTACATAGGGAAAGAGATGGATAATAGAAGAGGGAAAGGGGAGAGGAGGCACATAGGGAAGGAGATAGATAATAAGAGAGGGAATGGGGAAAAGAGGTGCAGAAAGGAGGGGAGATGAACAAGTGAATGAACAAGTACTCTTTATTATCATCTTTTTATCTCACTTCTTTGTTTCATCATCTTTCTATTCAGAGGGAATTTATTTAACCTTTTGTAAAGAGGGATCTGTACCTCATCTCCTAGAATATTCATCCATATCTTTTTCTATTCAAAACAGATGTTTTTTCCCTAGCTCTTTACTCTATAAACATTATTAACTTTAAATAATCTTAGTAGTATATTTATAGTCATTATCTTACATGTGTTACATATATATGTTATTTTTTTATGGATATAATCTGGTTATTCCAATAACTTAAGAAAGAATATTTTTAAAATACTTGAAAATAATGTAATTTGATTATTTAATTCAAACTATACAGTTATTGTCTCTTTCTTCAGGATAATAAAAATTATAGATATGTAAGCCTGATATTACTTTGAAATGCATAGTGAAACCAATAAGAAATACAAAAATAATAAGTTCTATAAAATAAATAACCCCATGACTTATATAAAATAAAAAGGTTTATTTTTTCAGACAGTGTAGTTCACTTAATAAAAGATTTACATAATATGTTCCTTAGTGTTTGAAAATTATAATAAACACAGGCACACTCTCCCTATCTAGACATTTTCTAAATTTTGATTGAGTTCAAAACACAATAAAGGTTTTTAACATGCCATGACTCAACAGGCAGTAATAAATCCTGACCTGCTCCTATGTCAAGAATTATTCTTCTGTATTATACTAAAGATTTAGAGATGACAAGAATTGAGAAAACACAAATTAATGTAAAATATGGTTCAGAAGTTTCTGGTATATCTTACTTAAATCAATTTAAGATCATTCTGATTATAATCAAATTACATTTCAAAATTGATAGATTAAAATTGTAAAAGTAATAACAAAAATGCTAAGAAAAAATTTACAACAAAAACACACCTTCACAACCATTTATTCAAACAAGCAATAATACCACAAAGTTAAAAGTCCTCAACAGTGCCCAATTTATCATAACTTTCCTTACCAAAGTTCACTTCTGCAATTTCTTCTCTAAGTCAAAAACCTTTTCAACTAAAGACAATCCAATAATTTACCCCAATCAAAGGATTACCCAATACAGCAGAAAGTTGCAATCCTACAAACCAAAAACTACCATTAAAAACAATAAAAAAGTTACAATCCAAAAAACTACCATCAAAGACAATAGAAAAAAAAATATACAATCCTACAAACCAAAAATCACTATCAAAAACTTTTTTTTTTAAATTACAATCCAACAAACCAAAAAAACACCATCAAAAACAAAAAAAAAACATTACAATCCAACAAACCAAAAAAACACCATCAAAAACAACAAAAAAAAATTACAATCCAACAAACCAAAAAAACACCATCAAAAGCAATTACAAAAAACATTACAATCCAACAAACCAAAAACCCACCATCAAAAACAATTACAAAAAAAAAATACAATCCTACAAACCAAAAACCCACCACTAAAAACAATTTAAAAAAGTTAAAATCCTAAAAAAAAAAAAAAAAAAAAAAAAAACTACCATTAAAAAACTACAAAAAAAAAAAAAATCATAACCAGTGCACAAAAACCACCCCCTTTCACCAGATCCCTCTCAACCCCACTACTACCTTCTCCAAGAGATTATACGAGGCCAATCTGACGGCGTGCGGGACGGTCGGGTCCATGGTGGTGTTGACGGCCTGGGCCAGCTGCCCTGCCATCTCCGCCACCTGCGAGGAGACGTCCATCCTGTGTCACTGCTGCCACGCTTCGTCTCTGCTACCCTCTTGGCACTGTCAGGGGAGAGAGAGAGAGAGGGGACTGGGTGAAAATGAAGGGGAACTCAACGAAAATTACCAAAACAAGGAGAGAGGGGGAGGGGGAGGGGGAGGGGGAGGGGGGGAGGAGAGAGGGAGAGAGGGAGAGAGGGAGAGAGGGAGAGAGGAAGAGAGGAAGAGAGGGAGAGAGGGAGAGAGGGAGAGAGGGAGAGAGGGAGAGAGGGAGAGAGGGGGAGAAGGGGAAAAGAAAGAAAATGGGAAAAGAAATGATAAAATAAGAAAGAAAAATAGGAAATCAAATGGGATAGGAAAGAAAAGAAGGAAATGAAGTAAGAAAAGAAAAAAGGGAAAATGGGAAAGAAAAGAAAGAAACTAATAAAAGATGGAGAAATTAATTAGGAAGATAAGAAAAAATATGAATTGAGAAAGAAAAATTAGAAAGATACATAAGAAAATGACATGAGAAAATAAAGTAAATCCATGTCAGGTTTTAACAAGATAAAGATGACAGAAAGTTTCAAGTGTACACAAGTAAACAACATCCAATGTAACTATGAGCAGAGTTTAATTTAGAAAATCATAGCGGCCATCTTCTAAGCAGGTACAGCTGCTGTGGTCTCATATTTTCCGCAAATGACAAAAATATCTGATGCATATCATTGCCCTCAGTCCATGACTAAGTCCACAACACACTCACACAAAATTCTTAAAGTAACTTTTTCTACAAGTCCGTTTTCTAAAATTCCTTTTCGCTGCAGCTCTTCTGTACCCTCCACACTGAAGGAAAGTGTCACAAATATTTTCTATGACGAAATTCTTGTGGCAGTTGGCATGAAGTGCTTATAATTCTTTATGGCATGGATGAATTCCCCAGAGACCAAGTCCGCAACCCCACATAACAAAATATATTCAACATTCCCCAACTGACATCGTCTTCCCCTTCGGTATTCATGGCAAGGAGGAGCCGAAACTCTAGAGCGTCAAGTGGACTTTCCGCTATCTTTTTCCTTTTATTTGTGCCGCAAAATTCTGTGTCTCCAGATTATTTCTCATAAAGATGACTAAACCTTCTTGTCCTCTGCTAGATTATCAGCTTCAAGTTGCCCCACCTTTGTGCGTCCATAAAGATTAAAGAGGGGGTGGGAGTACAGGGAATAAATAGAAGATAGAAAAGGCTAGGTTTAGTTTTTTGGGTTCGCACCATACCCTGATCTTGGGAGCCGTCTCTGGAGGGTGCGTCGCTCTTGTTAACAAATGCCACAAATTCAAATATACAGTATATAATACGAGTCTCATGATGCAACAAAGTCTTCAAGAAACTGTACAGATTAGTGCACTCTAAACTACATGTTTAATGTCTAATCTGAATCTTATATTTAGATTTTTTTCCAGGTTTTTATTTACAGGTGATCAACATTGGCTCCCAGGCATTACCTACATACAGACACACATAAACGAAATACTGCTACATAGTCAAGTTCTTTCACAGTGAATATTTGCTAAATTATCAGATCTCAAATAAAAAAGATCATACCAAACATATAATTCCCGAAATGTAATAGAAAAATCGTCCTTAAAATGTGACTCACCGCCTCCTGCCTCCCTTGTTCTCAGGTGTTTAATTACCTCTTTCCCCTCTATTACAGCTCTTAATTTCACGTTCTTAAAAATCAACCAACATTCCTAACCAGTTTGCAATAGAAATTAAACGTCCCTCCTCTTGAAATAGTCTAAATACTCTATATAGCTTATATCCTGTACCATTTTCCTCGAGGCTTTTAAAAGTAACGTCTTTTCTCTCGTCATTATTAAAGATTCTTCACTCTGACACTAGAAGCCAGCCTCGAAACGGGGAATTTGGAATCATGGCATCATTCAGGAGAGCAATGAGAAGATAGGTGAGGCAGAAAGAGGTAGATAATAGACATAGAAAAAAAAAACTCACACATACGAAAACGATGGAA